AGAGAGGGGGCTCAGAGGTTAAGAGAGCACTTGTTCTTCTTGCAGAGGACCTGAGTTCAGTTTCCAGCCCTCACATTGGCGTACAAACATTGTAGCTCTAGTCCCAGGGGTCCCATACCTTCTTCTGACTTCTGTGGGTATCAGGCATGTATGTGGTGTACATATAGGCAAAACACCCAACACAGACAAAGCAAATTAAAATAAAATAAACCTGAAAGCAAACAAAAACACCCTGTAGAAAGACAAAGATAATGTTTTGTGTGTGTACATGTATGTGCATGTATACTTAAGTGTTCACATGGAAGACAGGGTCAACTTTGGGCCTTCATTCCTCAGGACATCATCCACCCTGTTTTCTTTGTTTTTAGTAGGGACTCCCTAATCTGGAACTCTCTGATTCAGTTAGACTGACTGGCCAGTGAGCCCTTAGAACCTGCCTGACTCTGCTTCCTGTTACAGGCTTTACATTCAAGTTCCACAACACCTGGTTTTGTGTATGTTCTGGGGGTCAAACTCAAGCACTGAAGATTGCAAGGCAAACATTTGATGTACTGAGCTACTTCCCCAATCCAAGACGATTTTATCACTATCACCATATTGTGAAAATTTGTAAATTTGCCTATTCAGGCCTGGTTTGCTGGCCAAACCCTAAAATCCTAACACTTCTGGGACTGATGCAGGAGGATCACACATTTAAGCCCCAATCTTGGTTACAGACATTGAGGCCAGCTTGGACTTCATAGACAGATTATCTTGAAAACTACCTCCCTATATCCAACAATATTTACTTAAACTTGTGTGTGAGACATTATAGTACAAGCTGATTTGTTTTGTTTTGTTTGTTTTGTTTTTTATTTGAGACAGGGTTTCTCTGTGGGACACTTCTGACTGACTGTCCTGAAACTCGCTCTGTAGACTAGACTGGCCTTGAACTGACAGAAATCCACCTGCCTTGCTTCCCTAGTGCTGGGATTAAAGGTGTGCACCACCACCTCCAGGCTAGAAGCTGCTTTCTTAAATATCTTTCCTGAAACCAAGCATCATAAATTGTGGTTCCTTAGAATAAAACAAAACTTGATTTTTTTGTGTTTATTTTATGTATATGAACATTTTGTGTGTACACTATGTATGTGCCTGGCATCCATAGTGGTTAAGGGTGCATGGGATTCCCTGAGACTGGACTCGTGGACAGTTGAAAGCCACCATGCAGTTAGTGGGAACAGAACCCAGAACCTCTGCAGACTAACAAGTGTACTAAACAGGTAAGACATTTCTCTAACCCTGGACTGAAGTTCTTAAAGCAAGCACATGGGAGTTGGCCTGTTGTCTGCATAAGACATCAAGGGGTTTAGCATGGGACCAACTTGTTTCATTTACACTCTGTGTCTCATCACTTAAAAGGACAGAGAGTTCAGAACCAGCTTGCCATGTATGGTGTGACCTTGGTGTCAAAGACAACAAATCTGCCTCTCACACACCCAAAATATAACTCCACTCACTGCCTAAATATTTTCTGCCTATACCAGATCACTACACCATGCAAAAAGAAAAAGGACAGAAGAGATCAGGTCTCTGTCCCCCAAAGGCAACAGGAAAGAATGGCAAAGGAAGGTGGATATGGTAACTCACATCTGCAACCCCAGCATCTCAGCCTCATAGTGTATTTGAGGCCCTCTCATCTCACAAAACCAAGGGTCAGGAAAAACAGTTCAGTGGTTAAAAATGCCTGCCACCAATGTTTGCAATTGAAAGTTAACATGTGCTTGGAAGGAAAGAATCAATCCAACAAGCTGCCTCCTTACCTCCATAAGCATGTTGTAGCATTTATATGCATGCATACAATACAATGAAGTGTAATTTTAAAATTGAAAAATAAATGCCAAAGGAGAAAGTAAGATAAAAAGGACCAAGAACAATCACAGAATTCAGAGCTGTCCTAGAGGGTCCAAGCTCAGTAGATTATCTCAATCTTGTCATCCTGATTAGACTTGGGACTTGAAGAAACCTTGAGATCAAGGTTTAAGTCCACTGACTTCATAATGGATAGCCAAGACTTTCAAAACAAGGAATCTAATTTCTAGGAATCGAGAGGTCACATGTGGGTTACTGTGTCAGTTTCCCTTTGGTCAACAAGGTCTTCCCAAGAGAAACAATGTGGGCATGGAGAAGAATAAGCTTGTTCCTAAGGTAAAAATAAGGAAGGCTTAGTCTTTGAGAGGAGTGCTAATTTAGGTTGTTCACACCTCCCAGTCTGAGACAGTTCTGCTGTGCTGCCTCTTTAACCCAGCTGATTGTTCATAATCAATAGCATAAATTTTCACCCCCAATTTACTTGATAATGCAGTCTTACCTTGGCCTAGCTCACTGGGAGAGAGAGCACTTGCTTGCATGGTTTGCCTTCCCAACACTGGGGTGAGCTCTTGTTCTGAAGGGATTTTGTCTTAGTGGTTTCCGGAGCTACAGGCACAATTAGCTCTGGGCCCAATTTATGTGTTTTTTGTTTTTACGGAGCTGGGGATTGAACCCAGGGCTTTGTGTTTACTAGGCAAGTGTCCTACTGCTGAGTTACATCCCAGCCCCTGAGTTCTGATTTTTTTAATACTAGACACAGTAATAAATTAAACTAAAATACTATCAAAATTGGATAATCATAATGTATGTTAGAAAGTTATGTGAATGTGGTCTTACAGTGGGGAATTCAACCTTTGATATTTTGGGACTGTGACAGACACATGTGAAATCAGGGATGAGGAGAGACTACTGCTTACTATGTGGTCTTTCGCCTGTGAGAATCTGAGCAATATTGAGCTTGAGAGGATGGATTTCCAAGATGTAAGCTAGTATTCAGATATTTCTATCTTAGAAGATTCCTTTGAAATTTTTACTAGCTTTTTTTAATAGCAACTTTTTTTAAAACACTTGTTTTTTTTAAGATTTATTTATTTATTATGATACAGTGTTCTGTCTGTCTGCTTGCTGGCCAGAAGACATTGCACTCATTACTGATGACTGTGAACCACCATGTGGTTGCTGGGAATTGAACTCAGGACCTCTGGAAGAGCAGTCAGTGCTCTTAACAGTTGAGCCATCTCTCCAGCCCCTTTACTAGCTTTTATTATTGTTTTTTTTTTCCTTTTTTGATTTGTTTTGTTTTTCCTATTTCCATTCTATAAGATCCAAAGGTGAATGGTTGAGTTTAAGGGTTGGGGAAACGGAAAATGACTCCTACTGAGTGAAAACCTTGTGTTGGTGACATTGTCAGTGGCAAACTGTGTATTTTCCCTTCTCCACCACAGGGAGCAAGAAGAGGAATTCTCAGGGACCTAGCTCCAATCTGGAAGATGAAGAGAAGGGCTCTCTTGCTTGTACAGGGATATTCTAAGGTGGACCACTCTATTTCTGCCTGACCTGTGGCAAATGTTACAAAATGTACATCAACATCTTTCACCACCAATTTACAACCCTCCAGACTACTAGCCACAAAGTCGGGGCCTCCAAGCCTCAGTATCCTGCAGGTTGGTCTTTTACTTGCCAACTCTGTAACAAGAACTACCATGATCCCTCTGGACTGAGCCGTCACCGATGCACTCATTTTGGTCATAAGGTCAGTTCATGCTCTGTGTGTGGAAAACGCTTCCGGGATCAGTCTGAGGTCAAACGCCACATGAAGGTACACGAAAACAGGAAGCCAGTGACTGGCAACTAGGAGCATGAGGTGAAGAAGGTTCCACTCACAACAGCTGGATCCCAAGGTCCCAACCTCAAGCATGTGAAGGTGATCCAGGGACCAGAGGCCAGGGCTAAGGCAAGTGGCAGCAGAGACTCATTCCTGAATGTCAGATCCAGCTCTATTCCAGTAAAATGCTCAAGAAGAAACATCCATTGCCCCTATTGTTTGATACGTTTTACCAAGAGGACCACCTCAAGCTCCACTTCAAAAATGAGCCAAACTAATACCTCGGTTGCAGAGAGTCCTCCCACTCATCCGTGGTGGTAGGTTCCCAAGAGAACACCCAAAAGGAGCATGATATCCTCTGTTGCCCTGTCTGCGAAGTCTGCTTTAGGAAAAGGAAAGCCTGTTCCATCCTGGTGCTGTAAAGAATCAGGCAGACCCATTAAGTGCTGGGGATTCCTTAGTCATTCTTTTGGTTTTCTTGATGATCCCTTTGAGACAGCTGAGGTAGGGGTTCAGACCAGGCTCTCTTAGTAGTCTGACAAGAGACCAGGCTTTAGTTTTTGGTTCCCCCAAATGCGACAGAGCTAAATAGGCAGTTTTTTCAGGAAAATCACACCAATCAGCAGGTGCCCACAGCCTTCTGCTAATTCAGCAGGCCTCAAAGCCCCTTTGCTGGCTCAATGGGTGTCCCCCAGTCTCCTGATAATTAAAGATAGCTTTCCCTAGCCTGCTGACTGAAGGTCCCTAACCACTAAAAGCTCCTACCATTCAGCCCACAGAATAATATTTCCTCTACCAACCAGCCCCCAGATCAATCCCTCCTCTCGGGAGTTCTCCTAACTCCATTTAAAAGGAGCTTTTTAATCTTATCTGGGGATCACCAGGTGCCACCCCAACATTAGAATTAATAAAGTGCTCTTTTTTTTGCATAAGTGGCTGTTGGTCTTTCCTTGGGGCTTCTCTTGAACTCTAACACCCTTAAAGCTAGAAAATATTTCAAAAGTAAAAGACTTCTTGGAAAAAAATGAAATCTAGGAAGACAAGATGAATTATGTCTGCAGTGAGAATTCATGAAACATAAATAAAAGGCCTATTTGGGGCTGGCAAGATGGCTTAGTGGGCAAAGGAGCTTGCCACTCACCCTGACCTCCTGACTTCACAATGCCCTTCTGATATATCTCCCCACCTCACAAAATAAATACAATTTTTAAAAGTAAAAGAAGAGGGTCATCTTCGTCTTTGCATTTTGGATTTTCTGAAGACTGGCCTCTGGCTCAGGAGGTTTGGATAGGAGAGTTGAGTGAGTGACAAAAGACTCAACAAAGAAAGGAAGAGAAGTGTGCACAGTAAACTGTATTATTAATTAGCACCTAGTTTGTTGTGTCTGGTAGACCATCAAGTAGTAATAGCTGAATAAACAGTGCATGTTCTGAGAGGAACGAAGATGGGAGAAATAGGGGCAGACGTATAAAGGACGCTAAGGGAAGCAGAAGGGAAAAGACAGGGCACCCAGTTCTCAACCCTTGTTTCCCAAGGTCCTCCCTTCCACAGGCTGCCCAAGCAGGGTGATGTTCTCAGAGTTCTTTAGATCCCATCTGCAGGTGTGGGTTCAGGCTCCATATTCACGCTCTGTCTCTCTTAGCTTCCCCAGTATTGTGAGTTCTTCTGTCCCTGCCCCCCTACTGTCTACATTGCTGCTCTTCCCAGACAAGGCTGCAGTCTTGGGAGAAACATCCACCATTTGTTCAGTCGTAGTTTCTAATGCAGAGGTGCTGGATGTCCTGTTTGACAGAATCGCTCCTGCATTACTCTGATACACAGGTGTCTTCTGAAAGACTGCCTGCCCTCAGCTGTGGGTACTTCCTGGAGGAAGACTGAGACAGGGGCAAAAAGATGTGGGAGGCAAAAACTAGAGGAAGGAAGGAGCTGAGGAAAGGAAAATAGTTGAAGAAGGGAAATCAAATTGTATTTGGAATCCAGGGTGTTTCTGTAGATGTAGATTGGAAAGTGCCTGTGGCACAGAGGCTAATGAGAGACGTCCCCAACGACCCCTCTCTGGGGGTCTGCAAGGCTCCTGTTCATTCCAGAAAGTGGCACCATCACTCAAAAGGGGTTTCCTAGAAGAAAGAAATGTAAGTTAAAAAAAAAATTGCCAGCTGGGCAGTGGTGGCGCACGCCTTTAATCCCAGCACTCGGGAGGCAGAGACAGGTGGATCTCTGTGAGTTCAAGGCCAGCCTGGTCTACAAGAGCTAGTTCCAGGACAGACACCAAAAGCTACAGAGAATCCCTGTACAGAAAAAAAAAAAACAAAACAAACAAAAAACAACAATAACAAAAAATCTGCCAGTGGTTTCTTTCATGATGTCACTGAACCTAGGAGACAGACAGTCCTCAGGGGCATACTACCTCTGCCTCTCCCACCTCCTTTGTTGGTCTTGAAGTGAGGTTCAGGATAACTATTATGAAAAATGCCAGAGGAGAATGCGGAAGTGGGATTCTGGCCAAGGGGTTCTGAAGGATATTATGTCAGCAAGTAAGGGTTGCTCAGCAGCTTCTCTGGCATTGAAAACTTGGTATTCCCTTCCCCTTCCTTCAAGGAGGAGTCCTTCCTTCCAGTCCTTCCCCTTCCAGTCCTTCCAGTTCTTCCTGGGATTATGATCCCTCAGTAACCATCTTCCCTACTCCGGCTTTTTTGTTCAGTTTAAGAGAAAGGAGAAAGATTGGGAATGGTGGCACATGCCTATGACCCTAGCACGTGGAGACGGGCGAGAGGATTGCCATACATTCCAGATCAGGCTGGTCTACACAGTGAGTTTCAGAGGCGCAGACTGAGACTAGTCTCAAGAATGGGGAGGGGTGTTGGGGAGAACTTACTTAGCTCTTCGAGAAACTGTCCTGCAAACAAAGAGAAATGAGTAGGTGGGTGATCAGTGGGAGATTCCCCCCAACACACCTCATATCCTCACTAGACTACCCTCCCTTTCCACTAAGGGCCCCATGCATCTCATTGATTCTCAGTTTTTTTCCTGAGAATTCTGATGGTGAGCATGCGGACACAGGAGGAAGGCAATCCCAGCCCTGGAATGTAGAACCTTGATTCCACTTTTTCTCATTCTGGTCTGCCTGAGTTCCCCGCTGCAGAGTGGTCCTGTTTGCTGCCCGGATACCGCACCTGCTAGTCTTCGGTGCAGCCAGTTGTAGCAGATGATCAAGGCAACCAGGGGTCCAAGAACAGGTACAATAACAAACAGAGTGACCTTCCAGCACGGCACCCTCAGGAAGTGAGGATCTGAATGGTAGAGAAAAGCGGTTTCTTTCCCTCTATGCCACAACCACTCTTTTTAACCTGAATCCCCCAAACACCAAAGAACTCTGGGGACAAACTATAGAGCTCATGAATTTGGATGAGGTGCACTGTGCCTTTATTTTCATCAACTTCTAATTGAACTCAGCTTTCCTTTTTCAGTTATTTTTATTTAACATACAAAACAATGGGTTGCATGATGCTTTCATACATTATTCATATTCGGCTACTCACCAACCCCCCACCCTCACTCCCATCCCTAGTATGTTTGTTTGCTTTTTTGGAGACAGGGTGTTTTTCCATGTATCCCTGACTGTTATTGAGAAATCCTGCCTCCCGGGTACTGGGATTGTAGGTCACCAACCTGGCTATTCTTTTTTTTTAATATTTATTTATTTATTATGTATTCAATATTCTGTCTGTGTGTATGCCTGCAGGCCAGAAGAGGGCACCAGACCCCATTACAGATGATTGTGAGCCACCATGTGGTTGCTGGGAATTGAACTCAGGACCTTTGGGAGAGCAGGCAATGCTCTTAACCTCTGAGCCATCTCTCCAGCCCCCCCAACCTGGTTATTCTTAAGGTTTTCTTTTAGTAAAAATATAAGTAACAGACTAGGGGTGAATGCTTATCTCACACATTGAGGCCCCTAGGATCAGTTATCAGAAACACACAGTATTAGTACTGACTGTATTTATGACTTCAAGATACAAAAAATGGTTAAGAATTTAGGCACTCAACTCTTATAAGTAAAATCCTGGGGGCTGGGAACGTAGCTCGGTTTGTAGAGCAAATTCTTGTAACTTGCCTATAATGCACAGAACTCTGAGTTCCATCCTCAGCACAGCATAAATTAGGCATGCTGGTTTACACCTATGATCCCAGAATATAGGACATAGAGGCAGGGGGATCAAAATTCAAGGTAATCTTTGGCTACATAGCAAGTTTGAGGTCAGACTGAAATACATGATTCTATCTCAGAATAAGTGAATGGGGTCAGTGGGATGTGACATGGGATGCCCCCTCTATGCTATGAATATGTTTAATTACCATTGGTTAATAAAAAAGCACTTTGGCCTACGACAGGGCAGAATATAGTTAGGTGGGAAAGCCAGACTAAACACAGGGAAAAAGAAGGCAGAGTCAGGCAGATGTCATGTAGCTGCCCAAGAAGCAAGATGTGAATAACAAACCGTGAGCCTCGTGGTAAATTATAAAATAACAGGAATGGGTTAATTTAAGATGTAAGAGCTAGCTAGGAATATGCCTCAGCTATTGTTGGCCAAACAGTGTTGTAATTAATATAGTTTCTATGTGATTATTCGAGTCTGGGCGGCTGGGAAAATGAAAGTGCAGTCTTCATTTACAGGGATGGTTTAGTTGATAAAGGCACTTGCTGCTAAGCCTTCAGACCTGAGTGTGATCCCCAGAACCAACATGATAGAAGAAAGAATCAAGTCCTACAGATTGTCCTCTGACCTCTGTGTGAGCACTTGCTCAAACTCCCCCAACTCTACCCCTCCACTAAAAAATTATATTTCTCTTTGGGTGATCAAAGACTACATCATGTGTGACATCCACACGCAAGCCCAGTGTCAAATACTAGGGTGGAGCCCGGTGTGCCAGGTACCAGGAGAACTGAACAGGATTAGTCTTGGCTTCAGAAAGAAAGGCTGTTTAGGAAGATTGCTCAGAGGAGGAATTTTCTGTGCTCTGCTTAATTCTATTTTCTAATTTGTGTGGAATTTATTCAACAAACATTTGGGTAGTCTTTTGTTGACGCTGTCCTTATTGACTGTGCAGTCTGAAGTAAAGAAAATGCAAGGATGATAATTGAGGGATTAATATCCTAGTTGGTGCATGCACATTTGCATATGCATATACCAGCACTTGGGAGGTGACAGCAGAGGGATCAGAAACCCAAGGTCATCCTTCATGACGTAGAGAGTTTGAGGCCAACCTGAGCCATATGAGATCCTTACTCAAAAAAGGGAAGGTATTAGAGCGACTTTACTTTTTCCTCATAGAAGCCTTCTCTGATGAACCATGTGCTCAGGTTGTACTCGTGAAAACTAACTTTGCCATTTAAGTATGGTAGATGACTAAAAAAATGTAATTTTCTGGGTATGACAGCATGTGTCTTTAACCCCTGTACTGGGGGAGGCAGAGGCAGGTGGATCTCCATGAGTTCAAGGTCAACCTGATCTACATAGTGAATTTCAGGTTAGCCAGGGTTGCATAGTGACACCATGCTTCACAATTTTTCCTTATTTATGTATGTATGTATTGTATGTACAGATGTCTGCTGTGGGTCAGGAAATAGATCTTAGGTCCTCTAGGGGAGCAGCAAGTGCTCTCAACCACTGAGCCATGCCTTTACCTCCAGTCGTTATGTCTTGCCCAAGTAGATTTTTTTTCCACTAGGCAACCCAGTTGATGTTAAAAGGATCTGTTTATCTATCTTTTATAATTCACAGGATGGAAAAAATGTGTAGAAGAAGTTTACATTTGTGGAATTTAGTGTAGTACCTCACTACACTAAATGTGTACATAAGTGCACACATTGTGGTACATAAGTGTTTGCTATATTCCTGCAGGTTTTAAATGTAAAGAGAAAAGGCGGAGTGACCCCACAAAGAGCCACTGGTCCTAGTTGCTGCAAGTGAAATTCCACAGTGCCTTGGGAGGGTTGGAAGATGTCTGAACTTACCAAAAGTCCGATGGAGGTTCTCTGAAAAAGGAACAGATGAAAATAGATTCAGTTGGGCACGGAAAGGGGATTCTTGCCCTGAATCTATTTCAATCACTTAAAGCTGGTTAATAAAATAAATAAAAAGTAAAATATAAAGCAAGTTATGGGATTTTATGTCTGCACTGACTGAACTCAGGTGAACCAATAAGATTCTAATTTTCAGCTGCTTAGAGTTTTAAACATTGATATTCCCAACTGGAGGGAGCACAGAGCCCTGGCGGTGAGGCAGAAATGTTCTGAAGAAAGGGGTATTTTGGTTAAACTAAAAGACTAGACAGGAGGAATTGGGGAGGGAGGGTGCCTGGAACTCACCAACTTCTGCTCGAAGTTTTCCTAGAACAGAAAAAGGCAATGTTTTAGTTCCTGGTCTGCTCTGTGTGAGGACCCTTCTGCACCTAGTACCTTGGACCTCCGCGCAGACAACTCCTTGGTAGATTGGGGGTGTCTTTGGGGAGTGGGAAGAGCTCGCGATTTAAAACCAAGTATTCAGGCTCTTCCTGTTGTCTGAATTAAACAACAAAATAAAGAAAAAAGGAGCCTGGATGTGAGGGAGTCTGTCTGTGCTGTCTGTCTGTCTGTCACCCCAGAGAGTCTGGGTGTGAGGCAGTCTGGCTGTGCTGTCTGTCTGTCACCCCAGAGAGCCTGGGTGTGAGGGAGTCTGGCT